AAGGCACACACAGAGCGTATATGTACAAATTACACCATGCGTAATTCAATCAATTCACCAAATTCAATCGTATGGACAACGTCGAAATTGATTGTTCTTTTTTCAATAATAAATTAGGTCAGTGGCTTTTCTAGTTTTCCCATAATTTTAAGGAAATTCGTTATATATTTTAGAGGAATTTATCTCAATGTGCCATTGAAGGAATTGTATTTATCAGCATTCATTCAAATTTTTGCGTAACAAATAGCCCCTTTTTCTATATTTACTATGAAACCCTTGGTAACCTTTACTGGATGATTGCAACTATATCTGGCATGTGTATCTTGGGAATAATACTTGGGAATTGATTAGTATTTACGAAGAAGGCGGAACATTAGAAGATACATTCACACAGGATTATATCAATTTACTCTTCTGGACACCAGCCAGAGTCGTAATCCTCTCAGGACGTCTTTGAAATGCAAGGAAGAAGAGGAAGATTGTGCCTCTCGTTTGGGTGAATATTTGACCAAATGAATAAATATTGAAGCAGCAGAACTGACCACACAGGCATTCATTGAAATCTCAAGCAATGGGAACAAGAGAGCCCAAAAGCAATCATATCTCTGTAATCTCGTAATGATTACGCTTCTCTTGGCAACAATGGAGTCACTCCAATTTCCCAGAAAGGATTTTCACGAATTGTCTAGAGGATATTAACAGATGGCAAGCGATGAATGCACCAGCAGCGAAAAAAGGGTCCAAATGACTCGAAATGACTTCCACTAAGCTCTCAATAACAACCCAGTTGCGGTTCCACACGCTACGTATAGGTTTCAAGAAACTGTTTCCGACCCATAACGCTTATGGGGAATTTACATTGGATGCGTTTCACTTTTACCTCGACGAAACGATTTCTTGAAATGTGTCGGTGGGTAATCATCCCTTTTTTTTATTGCCCCTACGCTCGGGCGCGGAGGGCAATAAACCTCGAACAAAAAAAAGGATAATTGCCCTTCGAGACATTTCAAGAAATCGTTTCGTTACTAGTGCAAGAAATAATTTCATACTTACTACAGGAAACAATTTCGCAATTCAATCAAGAAATATTTTCATTCCTATTGCAAGAAATAATTTCGTAGTTATTTCTGGAAGCAATTTCGTATTTATTTCTTGTATGGAATCCAATACAATTAAAATATATATTTTTGTCCAAACGGCAGTGTTGATTATGCTGAATCTGGCCATCTTTAGCACTCTCCGGCGTCATCTTATCCCGGATTCCGTGAAATTTCCCGCGGCTTCATTGTCCATCTGAAAAACGATAAAATTATTAAATTTTACTGTTTATACGCGCAGAATTTAGATCAAATTTTCTCTCAATTTATTTTACAACAGCATAATCAATGCACATTTTGAAAATTCACCAAAATGTACTTAAATAAATGCAATTTTTCTCACCTTATTATCCGATGAAGAACTGCACTCTACTTGTTCTGCATTCAACCACGACCAGAACTCAACTAAATCGACAACTCAGATGAGTTTTAGTGAAGGAATTTCCCAATATTGCTTCATCCCGACACCCGAGCCTTGTTTTATGACCCTTTTTTCATACTTTGCATTTTCTCTGCCTATTTTCTGTAAAACAGATGTTTTATTGCACTACTTTTCTCCCTCGAGCGCATCATGGAATTTTGAACCGGTTTCAGGTATTACGAGAAACTCTTCCGTAAACGAAACGGAGGCATTTCTTGACCACATTCGGAAATAGTAAGAATACTTGGTCTTATTCGTTTCTCCTCTGAGGGCAATCAGGTAGAGTGCCGAAAATTGGGTAAATTTTATGAAGGTCTGAAATTTCTGTGGGCCATAAAATTTAGGGACACCATATGGCTTATTCTATACATGTTTGATCTGTGAAACAAGAACGAAAGCATTTCTTGTTGGGAATCAGAAACTTAAACCTTTCTCATTTGCATCATGTTCATAGTCGGAGGGCAATAAGGTATTATTGCTCTCCGATTACCCTCAGAGACAGAACAGGAAACAAATCCGCAACGGTTTCACATCCACTACCGATGAGTATCCGTTTCTTGAAACCCTTACGTAGCGTGTGGAACCGCAACTGGGAAGCGTGTCGAGTGAGTCCCGATGTCACCCTAAATACTCGTCTCCTCCGCCACATAAACAATCAATACATGGGGTGTTCCTCAGCCCCTGACCATCCTGCAAATTTATTCAATTGATTTGATGCATTTAAACACTTAAGCGATGAAAGTGGGCTCCTCACTCTTCTGCTCTATTTATTCATGTCGCTTGTGACTTCGGATCATGAGAGGAGATTTGAGGCACAAAAGAGGGCTGCAATCAACTCGAGGAATCTCTGTCGAGTGTACTTCAACATCTCATGATACAATATTTTCATCAAATATTGTCATATTATCACAGGACAGGATACAAATTAAATAGAGAGATATCAAGCGATATATGTTTATCTTCTCATTTTGGAAATGAAAGTTGAACGTGATAAAAGGAAAATTTCTAGCCCTTTGATGAATGAACAAACATCAGAAATGATGAATAGGATCTAAGGACTACATTTGTCAGTTTGCAACCAAAAAAAACTTCATAGCGGAGATTTATGTGTAAAGTGGGTCATGTTTATTTCCAACTTGTCTGTTTTTCGCATTGCAAACAATCCACCGGATACAGTATCGATCCGCGGCGGCACTCCCCCGAAAAGGCCGTCCCAGGTGCTCACAATGTCGGTGTGAGTGTCGATGAAGAGAGTGTGTATTAATTACCAGAGCGAGAAAGTGCCTGTGGATCCTCAATCTCACCCCGGATGAGCCTGAGTGCTTGGAAATTAATGCAAATGGCATCGTTCAGGCAGATTCATCAAACATTAATAATCCCAGGCGACGGTCGTGCCTGACTTTTTGGGCATGAGCCACAGTCATTATCGTTATCGTGAATATGGGTGGCGTTTTGGGCGCACGTTCACGATGTCTCATGGCACCTGATGACCTTTCCGACTTCTTTCTGGCATCCACAGGCATTTAATCGTGACGAAATGACGCATAAAAAGGTCAATTCCATCGATTTTCTCACACCCTCCGCAGAGCTTATATGGGGTGTTCGCTTTTTTCAACACCCAGGCCATCAATTAGATAAATTGGCAGAACCACTTTTCGCCCTTGCACTATACTAATTCCACGCACTTATGCTCGGAATTCACGCTGGAAAGGGGTTCCATTTGTTGGGATTGTGTCACCAGCTTCATGGAATGCTTCCCCACGGATTATCCTATGTTTGTCCCAGGATTTTTTGAAACATAGAATGGGGAATGTCGCCGTTTTCGTACAGCAAATAAGTCCATTTCTACAAATCACCTCTCCATAAGACATTCCACTGGCAAATGCACTCAATAGATTCTGTTCCAGACTTTTGAATAAATTAAGAGTAATCCCACAGATATCCATTTCAATGTAAAGTGTGTGGTACAGTGACTATTTAGGGGGTGCTCAGCTCATGTGGAATATATTAGCCCTAAGAACCTGCGTGAATAAATACAATCCTCACCAGGAAATCACCCTCCAATTCACTAATGCTGCAGATAATATCAATTCACCCTCAAGCAGAGTGATATTAGGGGTGGAAACTTGTGCAAAAACCCGAACTATCGCGGAAGTATCATGAAATATTCAGTGCGACTTTGACGGATTGTAAGTGGTTTGTTGGAATGATTTTATTGATTCATTATATTGCTCTTTAAAGAAAAGTTTAATGCAAGAACCACAAAAACGAAAAATTGGAGTCGTAAAGAAGAGTTTTTTTTTTAACAAAAAGCAATTTATCTCGCAATAAGTGTTAACTTAGATATCGTCGAAACATTTCTTTATCCTTGTGCCTCTCCCTTTTCCTTGGGTTAAAGAATGTATCTCAAGAAGAAGATACTTGATGGTGAATTGTGCGTGTTGGATGCACATCCATTTCAAGATAGTGGACAGAAATAAAAACACGTTTCAGCATTTAGTGACTTTATATCTAATTAGTGCAATATTTATGGGTGAAAGGGTCCCCAGCAATGGCTTTTTGCACTGATTTCCACCGCCAGAAGCTCAATTTGATGGAAATTTATGGCAATACTCTATCCCACTCATTCTTATGTGGAAAAAGGCACCAAAGTAGGAATTAATAGTCTGCGATTTAAGCTCAGTATTGAATGTTGGTTTATCACTCGTGATATTTGATAACACATGGCCAGTTGAATGGTGTCGAAGAGATGGATTAATAAATCACTCATCAATCACTGCTTGGGCTAACACGTGAAGGAAAGGGTGCGATATCAGCGACTCTGTAGAGAAGTTCTCTTGTCCATCGATTAGAGTTGCTAAAGTCGCGATATAGAGCCTCTCGGATGGGGCGATGTGGGGAGGGCTACGCCTTGGAGTGACAAAAGACACGCATTATACAGTTTTAGTGCCTCGGTTCTTGTAATGGTCGATGGGGATGCCCGTGGCGAGGAAAAAACGTCAATAAAGCTGTGGGGATCGGTGAGGGTGAGTAAATAGAAAATTGGTGAGGAGTTTTCACCCTCGATGGCGCTAAAGAGGGTGAAAACCACACCCTTTTCAGACTGCCTGGCAACCAATAGGGTGGATTCGTCAGTGAATTTCCACCGCTCTCGGAGGGGAAATTGGTTGTGGCAGTGAGCTCTTCCACCATGGATCAGTATCGAGCTGGCTTTCAATCTGGACTCATCTAACCATCCGTGTTCTGTGATGGTGTTCTCTTTTTAACTGTGATTTGTTCTTTGGTGTGATGGAACTCCTCAAGTTGATGATGGCTGGGAGGGATTTTCTAGCCAGTCGCTCTCCCAGTCCGGACTCTAAATATCCTCCGATTTGCCTGGAAGCATTACCTAAATTTCTCCTCTGTACGGAATATTAATATTTTTTTTTTACAATGTTCTCAAATGAATTCACTAACCGTGATTTTCTTTCTATTTCTTATAGCTACAATCCCAAAGTGCGGTGGATGCCAGGAATTAATTCTGGATCGCTTCATTCTCAAGGTGTCGGACAGAACGTGGCACGCCAAGTGCCTCCAATGTAGTGAGTGCCATGCGCAGTTGAATGAGAGGTGCTTCGCGAAGAACGGACAACTCTTCTGCAAAGACGACTTTTTCAAGTAAGTGTCTTTTCCGCCTCGGCCACAAAATCACTTCGTGGCCCTCAACCGAGATTCCTGGCTAATAATAATGACCACTTTCACGTTTTCGGGTCAAACAGACGCTATGGCACCAAGTGCTCCTCCTGTGATCTCGGCATTCCGCCAACGCAAGTCGTGAGGCGGGTGCACGCCAACGTGTACCACATGCAGTGCTTCGCGTGCGTGATATGCGCAAGGCAGCTCAACACAGGTGATGAGTTTTACCTGATGGAAGACAGGAAGTTACTATGTAAGCCCGACTACGAGGCGGCCAAAACGAAGGGGGTGTACATCGATGGCTCACTGGATGGGGATCAGCCGAACAAGAGACCCAGAACTACCATAACGGCCAAGCAGTTGGAGACACTCAAGAGTGCCTACAACAACAGTCCCAAACCCGCCAGGCATGTGAGGGAGCAGCTGTCCCAAGATACGGGATTGGATATGAGGGTGGTGCAAGTTTGGTTTCAAAACAGGTAAATGATTGATTTTAAGCCGCAAAAGATAGTGTGTTAATCTGTGAATTTTTTGGTGCAGGCGTGCTAAAGAAAAGCGATTGAAGAAAGACGCGGGCCGAACGAGATGGAGCCAGTATTTCCGATCAATAAAGGGTGGTGGTTCGCCTAGGCATGACAAACTCTTGGACAAAGACGAACTCAAGGTGGATTTGGATAGTTTCAGCCATCATGGTTAGTTTTTGAAGTATTTAAGTTCCCCTGGCGGATTAATTGATTTCCTATTTACTTTAGATTTGAGCAATGACAGCTACAGCACAGTCAATATGGGTCTTGAGGACGGAGCTTCACCACACAGCGGTCGAGGATCCTATGTCCACGGCAGTGGGAGTCCTCCGCCGTATCTGTCCAGCCACTCACCTCCGCCCATGGGACCAGGACACACCTACGCTTCTTACTCGGACAATATCGTCTACACACCGCTGGGTATTGTTTCCCGATCCAAACTCCTTGTTTCGAGACTTTATTCCAAATCTTACAGGTCAGCCGGTTAGTGGAATTCTGCACAACTCCCACCATGGACTCCAGGGTAGTGCCGTGTCCGATCTCAGCAATGACTCTAGTCCAGCTCACGCATACCCTGATTTCCCACCAAGCCCTGACTCTTGGCTCGGGGACTCTGCCAGCAATGCTCCGGCCATCAATAGCACTTCACACTACTGATATTCGAGGCACAGTGTCCATAGCATTCTCGGCGGAGAGAAATGATACTGGCATACGTACGCCTAGACCGTGGCACCTACAGGAGGTTCGGACGCCAATGCCAGGGACCTCGATGACGTCTTGTGGAAAGCATTGAAGCTAATTTATGAGATAGAGACAAAGTAACTCTAATGTGTGCATTAGAAGAATTTTGCGCGTTAGGAGAAAAATTGGATGCGTGATGTTTGGATCCAGACATTTCAATCTTCAATCCTTGAAGGAGAGTCCAATTCTCAGAGAAATGGGCGCGATATAAAGAGATTTTTTTCCACAATTTAATTAATCTTACCAATTTAACAAATTTTACCAAAATAGTTTTATTAGAATTCGAATCTAGTCTTTAAATTAAGAGAAATGATAAAGAACACAGAAAGTAAACTCCAAGTAAAAACTGTACAATAGAAATAAAGAGAAACAAGAGAAGTGAGATAAATCCAAGGATACATCTAAAGGAATTTCACGATTTAATCAATATTTGTGTTTGATTTCAATACTATACTAAGGATCTTGTTAAATGCCTTAATGGTAATTCTTTGTATTCCATTTGTAACCGCGGGATTTCCCTTGTCTTAAATTCTTAACTTAGAGTTCCGTTGTAGCAACTCCCCAATATTGCTGCATCCTTGTGTCGGGTTCTAGGGAGTCATCCTCTCCCCTTTCGTGCATCACAGCGAAATCGTATTCGAGATTGTAGGGCATTAGACGCTGTAGAGAGCCGAAATATGCTGCATTGGGACCTCCATTCATTGGATGGATACGTCCCGAATTGAATCTCATTGCTCTGAAGAGTCCATTACTTTGGGGGTGAAAAGACCTTGCACTTCCGAAGTGCTTCGAGAGGAAGGGCACATTCGATCCCACGGGAGTGTGATACTGCGAATACAAAGATTTGGGCGTAAGCTCTGTCTGGGCTGCTAGCTGTGGTGAGCTTGAAGAAAGCGCCTTAACCTGCGCCCTTGTTAGATTCGATGAGGGTTGACGCTTTGTGAACGCGCGGGAAATTGTATTGAGCTCTTTGTCGAATAGAAGCTGAGTGTTTTGCTCAAGCATGTACTCCCAGCATTTGAATTGCTCCTCAGACATGGCTGAATCGGATTCCTCCTTCTCCCGCTCTTCTTCAATGCGAGCCCGCACTGCCCTCACAACCCCACCTCTCAGACTTCTCCTTTCATTTGTAGCATAGTTTGTCGAAGATCGTCGACTGGTGACTGAACCTGTCTCGAGATTCTTAGGCTTCGGATTAGCTTGATTATTGTGCTGGCCTGTTAATTCACTGGCTGTCTGATCACTCTGACCGCTTGGCGAGGATCTGTCGCTCCTGTTCGATGGTTGCCTTACAAAACCACTTGTTATGTCTCCTGAATGACAACAGCTATTGTTAGATTCGCAACAACATCCGCACTTACAAAACCCCGCCATGACACTGGCAGGCTTTCCCCGGATGGTCTGTCGCAACTCCCTCATTACGATGTCCATTTCAGATCCAATATTGTTGAATTTTACAACAATAACACTTAGGTTCTCCTCAGCTCCGTAGCTTTGAGAAATATCTTGGAGTCTCTTTGCAGCTAGGATAACATTTTCCTCAGATCGTATGATAGCGGCAACACCTGCTGCATCCACAACTTCCCATAATCTCCTGTTCGCTATCACCAGGTACTCATCTTGTTCACCCAGGACTACTTCGCAAGTCTCTGGATCCGGAATAACAAGAGGGAAACTCGAGCTGCTCCCAATCTGTCGATTTGGCATTGACAAAGTTAGCTTTACGTTCCCACATCGTCTGATGAGAAGGGCTGTTGACTCTCCAACACTTGCTACCCGTAAGACATATCTCTTTCCAGTTTGAGGTGAATATCCCGGAGATTCTGCGCATTTTGTACGAGAAATGTGGCAAAGTGTAACGGAAATTCCACATTTTTGTCCTTGCTGCTTCAATTCTCGGTGGGCTGCAAGGAGAGTGTACTTCATGTAGTCTGTAGCGGTCTCCTTGACAGTTCTTTCCTCAAGGAGTAGTTTAGGGACGGATTTGGTGAGAAAACTGGGAACAACACGACCTCCTTCCCCGTCGAACATCCCAAACAGTCCTTCTGCGCTGCAGAATCCGGGAAGGCGTAACTGACTGATGAAGAGCTTAGAAGAAGTGCCGGATGTTTCTGAGAATCCCACCCTCCAGGGAGGGTCGAATTCCTGAGAGTCGTGGTTCACGGAAGGGGTTGATGGGAGGCTGGCACGGTTCTTTCCCGAGACGTCCACAAGACTCATTGGGCGCTGTGATTTGCATGCTTGGAGTTGCTTAGGATCAACCTGCAATGAGATTAGCTTTAGATATAATAGGACTCACAGATTTTTCATTGGGGTTACTTGAAGTTGTGTATTGCAGGACAAATCCAGAAATTGAAGCTTTCTTGGAACCAGCTGGACAAGATTAACTTTATCCAGTTGATTGTGAGCTAAGTCCAGGACTCGGAGGGTGCTGAGTTTCGCCATGGGTGGAACACTCTGGAGCTGATTGGAGTGGACCCTCAGGACCTTCAGATGGGTCAGATTGGCCAGATTGTCCGGTAAATGCTGAAGGCGATTTCCTGATAGGACCAACTCCTCAAGATGGGACAGATTGGCCACACAATTCTCGGAGAATGTGGTCAGACGATTATATGCGGCGTGAAAGACACGCAACTGAGTAAGATTGCTCAGAGTGTCCAAGGCCCGATCGGTGAGTTGATTATTGGTTGCATATAAGCGTTCTAAGTGACTCCGACTGCCATCAATGATGGGCAGGCTGATCAAACGATTGCTCGCAACGTTGAGCAACGTGAGAGATTCGCAGGCGAAGAAGAAGTTCTCGGGCAGATCCACAATGGCGTTGCTCTGAAGAAAGAGCTCCCGCAGGTGTGTCTTGCGACGAGATATGACGGGCAGCGACTTGAGGCGATTGTAACCCAGCTGCAGTGTTGTTAGGTCGCCACCGAACAAGTGTTCCGGAAGAGCGCTCAGACAGTTGTTGCTGGCGAAAAGAGTACGCAACTTGTGGCATCCCTCCAGCCATTCCGGAAGACTCACGAAGGAGTTGAAGCAGATGTCTATGTGACGGAGTCCTGAGGGAACTGGGGCCACTATGACCTTCTTGAGATTGTTATTGCCAGCAATTAGAGAGGACAACACCCGCCCATTCACAGTCAACTCAGTGAGATTGTTGCGAGAGCATCGCAGGGACTCTAGTTTATCCAAAGCTGACAAATCCAGGACTTCAATTGAATTTTCGCTCACATCAAGTTGCGTTAAGTACTGAGAAAGAAAGAGTTGCTAATTATATGTATTATTTGGACAAATTTATATGTACTCACTCCGTAATTCCCAAGAATTATGCTTCCTTTCAGTTGATTTGCTCTTAGATTGACTTTCGTCAAAGGAGGATTCTGGTCACTTTTGCCTCCTTTCTCATCAACGAAGTGTCCATTGGTGATCTTGTCGCCTCGGTACACATCAACTAGACCCAGAGTGCGCATGTTGCTGAGGAATGGTGGCACCTTCTGCACCTTATTGTGAGACACTTGCAGGGATTGCAGGCGTTTCAGATGCTTCAGAGAATCAGGCAATTCCACCAGTTCATTGCGATCCAATCTGAGCTCTGTCAAGCTGAAAGAAAAAAGTGGATTACATGCAATCTTACTCAATGTGGGCAAGAGGTGTGCTCAAGAAGCGTGTCCAGCCTCTTCAGCATATTCATGAGGAGCCCTCGACTGGCCACAAGAGAGCACAGAGAGACTTCTTGGGGCGCAGTGGAATGAATTGGAAAAAGGGAAAGTACTCTGAGAGGAATTTACATATTTTACTCTTAATTTATGGCGCGATCTTTTGCACAATATTCACAGCTTTTCCGAGCGCACCTGCAATGACCAATTAGGAGTGCTCATAAGTACGAAATAACTTCAATTCTTCCCCAATTGCGTCCGCGATGTTCACCCGCATGGATCATAAATTAAACAATAAATCCCACTCAACAGTTTCCTAACACTCACTTTCGACAGTCTTTCGTCAGGACTCTGATCTTTGTGGACTCCTGGAAAATTATCCCATAAAAACGAACACTTTTCTTGTGAAAGTCAATGTTTGAAAATCACTTCAAATCAACACTTGGGAAAACTCTGCGATATCACGAGAAAATTTACGTTCCGTGCAGACGGTCCGAATCACAATGAAGAACTGATGGATGGTCGAGGTAAAAAAGCGAAAATTCATCCATAGGAACCGAAAAAAACACTTTAGACAGAGCTGTACTTCATCTTGAGAGTGATTTACTGTATACATTTCACTCACTTCACTTGCTCAAAACTCCGGCCACTGCATTTTTAATTGATTCACCCGAGAAATCCACTTCAATGCCGTTTTTCTTAGGCGTCTTCGTGCAATTTTCCTCCTCGTTTAACCATTGTTGTTGTGTCTCTCAAGTGAAAATGCGCTTTTTGGATGCAAATTTCCATTCATTTAACCGGCAATTTAGAAGAAAAGGGAATGTTTCTTTTGTGTTTCATAAATGTTTCATCGATTTGAATAGTAAATGGTTCAACCGAAAAGGATTTTCCAGATATTATCAATATTTTCATCCCCAATATGACTACAAAGTCTCTTAAATCACCTTGTTTTATAATAGAGTTGAGAAATTCAACACAATTTTCTTCTCAATGCTACGAATGTTCAATGAAATTATACTCTGCATGTTATGAATGGTCTTCATAGCGTGCAAAATCACCCCTAAAATCCACTGAATGCCAATTTCTGGGCGACTCACAGTCTCAATAACCAACTCTTTAACTGTTTCTAATGTCTCCAAAGCACCTCTGCTTGGCTCGAGCGACAATTAAAAGCGTCTGTGGCGGAGAGAATCACTCGCGTCTTTCAGATTCTCTGGTGCGCGCTCGGTAAGGAAAATAAAATGAGTCACTGTACCGTGAAAGACACAATACTTGTTGACTCTTTATTGCCATTTGTGATGTAATCCACAAATTGTGCCCGATTCAGTGTGTGTAACATGAAAAAGTTTTCCTCCACTCGCCGTGACGCGAGCGCGCGCGTTTCAAGTTGCGAAAAGAGGCGGCTCAAGACGGCGCTTGGAGGATTCTCACTCACTTTTCCAAGTCGGCCAACTCATCCGGAAGAGATTCAATCTCATTGTCGGACAAATCCAGCACCGTGAGCGCCGTGATGTTGAGCAATGGCGCCGGAAACGATGTGAAACCGTTTCCGGGCAAGCGGAGAATTTTCAGGTTGGGAAATTCAGCGAGAGTCGCGAGGGCGATTTCTTGGAGTTTGTTCTGACCAGCCAGCAGTTCTTCAACTGTGCTCGTGGATCTCAGGACGATCTCTGGGATGGTCTGTAGTCCGGATCCGCCGATGTCAAGGCACTTTCCATCACCAATCTCCTTGGCGGCCTGTTGAAGTGTGGAGAAAAACACTCTTGAAACTCTTCTTAATAATCCAACAGTTTCGTGCGCTCACAAATTCATCATCCTCAGAAATGCACTCAGACACTTCAGATCCTTCAGATTGCCAGGAATCCAGAGAATCCAATTCTATCTCTTCAGAATCTCCAAATCTTACGCGATTCTTTACACTCTTCGCGCTTGATTTCCTTACTTCCGGCGTCATAACGCAAGTTAACACCATTATTGATAGCAATCTTCAATGAACTTTAAGGAACTTCTTTTCACCAAAAAAAAAACTACTAGACGTGAGAGAAGTCTTTTGGACTACGAGTGAATGTTCCGGAAAACTCTGCAAGACTACAAAAGCCAGCGAAATATGATTGTGAGTCAAGCTTCAAGTCGTGATACGGTTTCAGTCATTATGTCGTTTTGCTAAGCAGTGGCGGCGCGAGACTTCCGGATTGCAATATTGCTTTTCCTTCGTTTGGATGAAAAGTCATGAATTTTATCGATTTTGTGATTGAAGGAAAATAAAAATATTTTTCTAACATTATACTGAAGATGTTTCTTATTAGTTTTTCGTAGTCTTCAAGAAACGCTATTGTTTTAATTTACAAGAGGTTTGTAATTATGATGTTAAAGACATATAAATTTATGTGGCGTATTAGGAAGAGCTGTAAATCGACATCATAAAATATGTTAACTTATAGAAAATATGCTACCTTTATGAATGGAATGGGAACTACAGTAGATAGCATTTTTGTATTTCTTTTCCTGAACTGTGGAACCCCTTTTTCATATTTCTCTCGACTCTGTTCACGAAGCAAATTAAGCGGCAATTGCGCTAACGCGAAGTGAAGAGGTGAATGCTGTGGTGATGTCTCAACAATCGCTACTGAAGAACATTGTTGGCACGCGTCATAGATCACGCTCGATAGAATTTGGCTCAGCGGGTTCATCTTGAAGATGATTTCTCAAGCGGTGGGATCAATCAAAGCACCGTAAAAATGATGCCACAAGGACAATCTTTGCAATATTTGCATAATAATGTAATGATTCATTGTTACGCACAACTAACTGTGCCGAGTTATTTCTTCAGGAGTTGACCCGTGAGTTTTATACCTCCATCAGCCAGTTGCTCCAGAGATCTCGTTCCCAGGACTCCTGAAAACCCAAGAAGAGTACCCGGTCGGAATCTCCGTTGACAGAGGACAGGCTCGCCGAGCTGTGATAGAGACTACCCACGCTGGCACTGGGAAGGTGCAGAAAGGCGTCCGCGTGAGACTTCGTCATGCCGTCCACACTCTTCGGCTGAATCTTAAGTATGAGTCGATTGTAGCCGGGCGAGTGCTCGTAGATGTCCGCCCCGCCCAGTTCAAACACTTCCGGAGATAGACAATTGTTCCCTGTGAGAAGAACAATCCATCAATTACAGCGCAGGTGGGACAAGTGCCGGAAGGTTCTTGAACCCTTCACGTGGTTCGGTTCTTTTGGTATTGCACAAATGGAGGCGCGACTTGAGAAAATTATGGGTAATTTCTGAGTAAATTATCACCTGGATAGAGGATCATTTTGCTGCCGAAGAGTGCCACGGATCTCTTTCGCCATTGAGGAAAAACCAATCCTTTCAAGATCTCCACAACGCCTGATTTCATAATTCCTGGACACATTGAAAGTTCAGCTGGCCCGATGTGAAATCGAACCAAATACTTCAGCTCAGGATCGATACTAAGTCGCGATCGTCGTGAGTCGTCTGTGAAGCCAAGGGCCTTGAAGAAGTTTTCTTGCAGAAGAAAGGGTCTCTCGTCGGAATCTAAACGCCGGGAGGGTTTCCCACCCACCTGAACCCAGAGTGTGTAGTCCACTGGGAGATCCATGTCCGCCACAATTTGCTCTACTGAGCTTGACGTGAGCACGTGTACCATTCGACTGGGATCATCCTGAGCAATATCCGTCCTGTCTGGGCCGCAGAAGACCCTGAGCCAGCCTGTGGCGAGATTCTGGCCAAGTCCGAGACTTTGGAGGGACTTTCTTGTGAGAACACTCTTAGGCGAGGACTGAACTGAGGTTGTGGAGATGGCCGAGTAATTATCCTCACTCGGGCAATCCATATACTTCGACCTCACCATCCTGAACACCGCCCCAGGAGTCTCACGATAGAGGACATCCATTGCAATGGCCGAGTCACTCACTTCATGCTCTGTCGATTTCCCAATTCACTCCGATTTGCAATGAAATCCACGCAAAGTTCATTCGTTCCACAACTCACTCGGGTTTTCACTATTTATGATTATTAATATCATACAGCATGAAACTGAAAGTTATTGGTGGGATTTCACAAGCATCATTGCTTCACTTTTGCACTAAAATCATAGAGCTCATAACTGAATCTCTTGCCCATCTCTTGGACTTGGGGATTTCATAGAGACACTGTACTTCACACCTGTTTTCACTACACATTTCCCACTTAGACTGCCGGCAAAGGCGCGCACAAGGAACACAGTGCCACAAAGTAACTTCTCCCCTTGTTGTGGAGTTCTATCGCAACCGAATAAATAAACAAAACTAAACGGAGTTCGTTTCACGTTTGGCTGCTGACCGTCTGCAGTGGGTCTCGAAGGTGGAAGGCAGACAAAGACACCTTTCTCACTCTGGCCCCCAGATAGTCGCTTCGCCTTCCCGTATAAATTCACTCCTCAGACGATTTCTGGTGGGAAAAGTGTCTGTATATTGCAGAATGCTTCACGGCAGACTGCTAAATAGAATTTTGATATTTTCCAAATATTTCATTTCAATTAAAATTCCAGGCAATATTGAATTAAATTAGATGGAGAATTGTTTTTATGTGTCCAAAATCTTACCGAACTATTTGCAGAGTGAGGAAGCACAGAAATGAAATGAAACACTAAAAGCAAACACACAAGTTCATTGAATTTGCACAGGTTGTTTTTGTCTAATTGGCAGAATGAGGAATTGACCAAGATAATTTATTCACAGCGCGCGGTACAAGAAGTCGAGTGAATTTGAATGTAAACAAAGCGCTTTAGACAAATTGAGTCATTGACCACGGAGACAAATTGCTTGAGTCGCCAAAGTGGACGTGAAGTGGGAATAAAATTGGTGGGTGTGAAATTCACGGTCGGGATTTGTCAACAAGTGTATGAGAATTGCAGCCCTAATGGCGGAAATGTCGACCGGATGACACAAAATTCCCCTAACTCTCGAGATAGTTCTGCATGAGTCTCCAATGTGTGTCAGGATAAGGCTGAGTGAACCCTAAAATGAGAACTGGAGGGAGATCACTAAAGCGTGTCGTCGATAGACAGTCTGGTCGTAATGAGGGACATAATTTTTTAATTTCGTATAATTTTGATGCCCTTTACAAGCTCATGGTTTGCAGCGGGCAAAATCCAATCACAGTGAACATTATAAAGATTTTGAGCACACTTTCACCACAAGAAATCGTGAACTCAAGGCTAATCGTGGATCTTGTGGCGACAAGTGCAAGTCGCCAGGCAATTCCTTTGGCGTTCCTTGCCCTCCTGAGTGGCTGTGTTGCATAGCCATCCCGGCCACTTGTTCAATTCATGACAATTTGCCCAAAGATCCGCGGCATGACAACCGTTCTTGCATAATCTGTAAGATAGAAAATAGGCATTGAGTATACTAACTTTAATACTCCCATTTTTAAAGCCAAAATCTAACAGTCTAACTGCAATTTATCTTAAGACACAACATCCATTCTGAGTTCTATTCTCTCTTCCCATGATTTGACATTTCAAATCTAACCACTTCGTCAAATCACAGTGCTGAGAAAGCCATTTCATAAATATCGGCGCTTCCTGTCTTACATTTATTTGAATAATCACGGCAATTTGGATGATGTTGTCTATTAAGAGCCCGACAAGGTGGGCATGACGATGTGGATTCTCACCTGACTCGCTTGGAGTGGCAATGATGCGGGCAAGATTGACACGGTCGTCCGATCTTGTAAGGAAAGCCAAGTTTTTCTTCGTGATTTCCTCTGCAAAGCAACCAGAGAATCATTGTTGGAGTCTTCTTTGAGGAGTTACGAGTGGGTGTCAAACTCACATGGGACAGTAGTTGCAGACGTAGTTGTAGTAGGTTTTCCCTCGGAATCCTCTAGTGCACTTGGTCAGACCGCATCCGACCTTGTGCGTGGCCGCCCAGACCATCTGCGTGTAGTGGCCGATCACGTGTAGGTCATTCTTCGGGGAGCCATAGGTGAAGTTCTGTCTCTCCGTGAACCACATCCGCAACGCAAAAAGCCTGAAAGATCACAAGAACAGGTGGATATTAATTGATTAGCATGCAGCCATAATCATTAATTTTATTGAGAGGAAAATTTTGCTATATGATCTGTAAATATCAAATTTAACACTCTGATAGAAAAAAATATGCTAATGACCCGCTTCATTTGTTCCCATAACTTGAGTCCCACTCACATGGCATTTCGCATCAAGCAAAGTTCAATCATTACAACTCATTCTGCACTCACCACGGCACCTTTTGCGTTGACACGAAGATGTTCTGACCGCACGCTCCGAAGTTGTCTATCCAGCGCCCTTTGGGTGTGTCGTGGGTCAACAATCGGCACTGATCTGCCCACTTCTGCGCTGCCCTTGCAGCTCCATGATGCCACTTCTGTTGCCCGGGAATCAGAGAGAAAGATCACGCGTGAATAACACAAACCAATATCCATAAATTATTCAGCAACTAATGTGACAGGCTGGAGCTGAGTCCACAATTTCGGATGTGTCATAAAGTGTTTGTTATTTCAATCAAGAAACGATCGCGACTGGTCGTTCTTGGGGCACTCGGGAGAGTTCTCTTAAACAGATGTCTCGTTGGGGCGAGACTCTACCAGACTTGCTGACACCTTAACCCAATGCCAAGTGGCGAAGAGTGTGGCTTCTCTGGCTTTTACGATCGTGCGCTATCGCGAGGATCATTGTTCTCGATCTCAATGAGCCAATAAAAAAGACATAAATCAGTGGCTTCCACCCAGGGAGATTTTGGTGCAGTTTTGCAATATTCCACATTTTTACGACTCTCAATGTTGCAGAAAATATTGATTTCGATCGTTAGTTGATATGAATGAGATTTCATAAAAAAAGCCTTCACTTTTCACTATCAAATTGCATGAAAAATTGCTATTGATCTTTTGAAAACCCCATTCTAATCAATATTTTATGAAAACATGAAAATTGTCTTGATCTTTGACACGTTTAGTGCTCCTCAGAGCAATTGAGAGTAATTGAATTCAATTAATTGGAGGCTAGGCCAACAGCGATCGCAGTTCTTAATGATTTTTGTACCATAATCAGCATATTGGAGGCGGGTGGAATGACTTTAGTGCGAAAATAGTCGTGCAGCATGACGATGCGTTGCTGAACTCTCCTCAAATGTGGCGCAATGAGTTTGGGGGAGACGCGATCGCCGTAGATCCTTGGCTCTGAAACGAGAAAATTTATACAGTCTGAAGCACCATCCCAGAGATAAACCGCAAATGGCAAGTCCACTTACTGTACTCGGATCGCCAGCAGTTAGATAAGCCCAATGAAATGACCACAAATATCCAAATTGGGCGAAGCATTCTTTCTTCACGCGCTGATCTCCTTCCTGTGACTTTGTGATCGGTGGTAAAGAGGTAAGATCACGTACACTCCCCGAGAGCACACAGTCTTTGTTATGCAAATAAAATCTGGGATGTTTTGTGACTACGATTGCGAATATTTGCCAATCGCGTTCAACAAGAGCATAGACAAGCGAAAAGCGCGATCTTGCGACCAGGTGTGTTTAGCTCAGATCTTCTGCGTGGGCGATGCGCGAAATCTAATTCACTTAATTGGTCGACACAATTATTACATGATCTTACGAATGTTTTCACACTTCTTGATTAATACCCTTCCTCAGTTCTGTGGTCATTTCCACAACACGATAAATTACACTTTCGCTTTCGATCGCTCGCAAGATCGTCGCTGAACTATCACGACCGCAAAATTTGTCAACTTAACTCGATCACCGATGGAGCGTAAATGAGAGAGAACGGAGAAGAATGTGAGGCTGGAGTCTGAAATCTCGATCGCATTTTGATGATCACACAATTTGACACTGTGGGTTAGATGAAATATTTTCGGAAAAATATGAAAAATTTCAATGAAAGAAATAATATCATATGGTGCAATTTTTTGCTTTGCATAAAAATGTCCTGAAATATTGCATTTCAGAGAGGTTTCATGAAATAATCATTTTTTAATGCAGTGAATTTTTCCATTGGACGAACTCGTACTGTTTCTCGATCAATTTTCACACTTCTTTTTCCTCTGATTCTCCCTCTGCATTATTTACGATACCGCGTGGTTTCTTGAATGGAATTTTCGTGTGGAAAATGATCTCTTTTTAGGCGTTCTGGTTCATCGTCTTCCACTGGCATTTACAGAAAATGCAAGACAACGTTATGAATGAGATATTTATTCATAATTTTCGACTCGAGTGGAATATTTTAAGAGATGATTTTAAAAGTTGACAAAGTCCAATTCTCTTCGCATCCTCAAGGTCAGTGTGAGCTTCTTTTTCTCTGGATTCCAGGCTGCTTTCTTCCTGTCCGGATCAACTGGGTGAGGCAGAGGGATTTTCAAGTGATAAATGGGAGTTTGCAGATCAATTTCCGTCTCGGTGACCTTCAAATCTATTTGATCCACTTCTCCAGTCTCCTCAGAAAGGTCAATTGTGATCACCATGTCCTCACAACTGCTTGTGGCTGTCGTTTTGTTGCTCATCTGAAGAAAAACATCCTCCACTTTCACCTCTTGCTTGTAAGCTATTTGATACTGAGGCCTCTTTCGTGTGTCCAGCTCCTCATTGTGCACTTCCTCGAGAGCTTCCCATTCTTCGAGTGTTCTCGGGAAGTTTTCCTTGATTTTCTGGACTGTTTGACACACTTTCTGCTGTGAAGATTCGGTGAAGAAACTGGCTGGTGTCACCGAAGATTTCTTAGTGGGTGTAAAATCCTCACCATCCGAGTCTGAATCCCTTTCAGGGGGATTTAGAAGCTTATTGAGGAGTATCAATTGGTCACCACTGCCTATTTCGTCCATTTTCCTAAGGAAAAACTAGAAAATGGATCAAACAAACGACTTGTGTTGCCAAGGAAGTTTGATTTAATAATGAATTTTGTGTATTTGCTAAGCTTTTACAGCGCCCTCGGTTGAGTGGTACCGCAAATTGATAATGTTTATTTACTGCATACAAGAATGAAGGAACAAACGCACCCAGTTGCGGTTCCACACGCTACGTATAGGTTTCAAGAAACTGTTTCCGACCCATAACGCTTATGGGGAATTTACATTGGATGCGTTTCACTTTTACCTCGACGAAACGATTTCTTGAAATGTGTCGGTGGGTAATCATCCCTTTTTTTTATTGCCCCTACGCTCGGGCGCGGAGGGCAATAAACCTCGAACAAAAAAAAGGATAATTGCCCTTCGAGACATTTCAAGAAATCGTTTCGTTACTAGTGCAAGAAATAATTTCATACTTACTACAGGAAACAATTTCGCAATTCAATCAAGAAATATTTTCATTCCTATTGCAAGAAATAATTTCGTAGTTATTTCTGGAAGCAATTTCGTATTTATTTCTTGTATGGAATCCAATACAATTAAAATATATATTTTTGTCCAAACGGCAGTGTTGATTATGCTGAATCTGGGCATCTTTAGCACTCTCCGGCGTCATCTTATCCCGGATTCCGTGAAATTTCCCGCGGCTTCATTGTCCATCTGAAAAACGATAAAATTATTAAATTTTACTGTTTATACGCGCAGAATTTAGATCAAATTTTCTCTCAATTTATTTTACAACAGCATAATCAATGCACATTTTGAAAATTCACCAAAATGTACTTAAATAAATGCAATTTTTCTCACCTTATTATCCGATGAAGAACTGCACTCTACTTGTTCTGCATTCAACCACGACCAGAACTCAACTAAATCGACAACTCAGATGAGTTTTAGTGAAGGAATTTCCCAATATTGCTTCATCCCGACACCCGAGCCTTGTTTTATGACCCTTTTTTCATACTTTGCATTTTCTCTGCCTATTTTCTGTAAAACAGATGTTTTATTGCACTACTTTTCTCCCTCGAGCGCATCATGGAATTTTGAACCGGTTTCAGGTATTACGAGAAACTCTTCCGTAAACGAAACGGAGGCATTTCTTGACCACATTCGGAAATAGTAAGAATACTTGGTCTTATTCGTTTCTCCTCTGAGGGCAATCAGGTAGAGTGCCGAAAATTGGGTAAATTTTATGAAGGTCTGAAATTTCTGTGGGCCATAAAATTTAGGGACACCATATGGCTTATTCTATACATGTTTGATCTGTGAAACAAGAACGAAAGCATTTCTTGTTGGGAATCAGAAACTTAAACCTTTCTCATTTGCATCATGTTCATAGTCGGAGGGCAATAAGGTATTATTGCTCTCCGATTACCCTCAGAGACAGAACAGGAAACAAATCCGCAACGGTTTCACATCCACTACCGATGAGTATCCGTTTCTTGAAACCCTTACGTAGCGTGTGGAACCGCAACTGGGCAATGAGATTAATCATTAGAATTATTCGCTTGACAAAACTGTTGCAATTCTTTTTTCAGTGAATTCTAGAATTATTTTGTCATTCGCCTAAAAGCTCCATGAGAACTCTCTGAGCTGAGAGACTTCCCAAAGTAGCGAAAACTGATGGGAAAAGAAACGGTCTTCATTTGCTCATTTTGTGTGAATTACACCGTCTCAATCTGATTAGGTTGTCCAATTACGAGCACACGATTCATCATTCAAGTGATTTCGACACAGAGGTGCTATTTTTCTTCAATATCTCATTCTTTACAGCTTCCCAAAAGAACAAAAACCTGCTCAATCTTCGTCTTTTTCCCATTTAATTTGTTCCGCACACTCGTGTGGAATGAATTGAGTCCTGGCTGTGAAGTGTCTCGGATTGTGGAACTGGAAGAAACCTCACACAAAACACACACACTAGTGCAGAGGTATACTAGTTTTGTTGGGAGAGTTTCTCTGATATTTTTATTTTCGGCTTCCTAACAATTTTTTATGGTGAAATTGTGCAATGATAAGTTGAAAAAATGAGACATAAAATTGTATGTTTTCTCAAGATATTAGTGTTGAAAATTAGCTTTTTATGTATAGCTAATCGAGGAAAATTTGAAGCGAGTGCAGAGGACTTTCCAGTGAGGCATTCAAACCGACCTTCCAGCGGAGAATTAGAAGCACAGTCAGTCGATGCTGAACTTCTGTGGAAGACAGTTCTGTGTTGTTCGCAGCCGGTTCGCTAGAAAATTGTGTTTTGGCTTATCAGTGTGAAAAACGAGTGGAGCGTCTTGACTTTCGCCGATGCGGATCAGAGCGATAATTCCGCTGTAGAAGGGTTGAAAGAGTGTATCTCTCAAGTGTTAATTCAAAGTGCTGATTGGAGTGAACAAGATTGCGCAAAATTGTGCGCTATCGGCTTCTGTGCAGACATTTTCTCTGTGAATTTTTCTCTGAAAATTGCCGGCTTGAGTGAAAAGTGCTTTGGTGTTTAGTGTGTGTCGCCAAAAATAGATTATTAGAGCCATTTAGAATCCAATAAAACACCGTGGAGGCATTTCCCGTTGCTGCATTGCGTGCATCTGGAGTTTTATACTGGATAAACATTTCTCTTGGGATGCATTTTCCATGTGCGCCGTCTGTCGTCCCGTCGAGCACCAGAAATGCTGCAATTGAGCATCAATTGCAGCACACAACGTGGTAAGTGGAGAGACATTCTATTCTATTTATTATTGCAGTCGCCTTTTGGATATGAGCGCGCGGGGACAGAGATCACGGATGCGATATGCGGCTTGTGTTGTGCATGGAAAAAAGTCCTCTTCGGCCGCCCCTTTCTTCCCATGGAAATATTTATTTGGCCCACGATGACTCGCTGATAGATTTGTTTGTTTTTCTCTCAGTTTTCCCATCCAGTCTCCCTCTTTCTCTCTCTCTTTCGCCTTTCTATTAATAAAGACCCCGTGCCATTGTACCGACTTTTTTTCGAGAGCACAACCTCGAAAGAGAATGCGATGATGAGGAGGAAAAAATCGTACTCTTTTGTACACAAATGCAGTGGAGGTTAAATCCAAAAATCAGGGGAGAAAATGCCGCGAAACTGGGAGAGGAAGTGGAAATTGGCTTGTGGTTGCTGGGATTCTCGATGCAATTTGAGATTGATAAACAAGAAGCGAAGCAAGTCAATCAGAAATCGTGGAATATTGCTTGAAATTTCATTGTGAATGGGATTTGAAGGCTTCTCTCCAACTCAAGCACGCTTAAATGCATTCATTGAATAAGATTGAAATATTTGCTAAAGTATTTGCAATTTTATGCTTGGCATAAGAACTTAAGTCCTTCAATGAATAGTTGAGACTCTTGAGTTGACTGCTTCTGTGTTTGGACAGATGTCGAGACAGGATATAATAACAATGGCCAAGATAATGGCACAAAAGAGATCAAAATGTGATAGGTCACATGTAAAAGGATAAAAGAAGTTTTTCGTCTCGAATTCACCTTTCAAGGTGGATTAATCTCCTAATGAGCATCTGAGATGCGACGTAGAAATTCTCCGAAATTCTTTTTCAAAACAATTTGCTGAGTTGCAGAATGGGAAAGTTTCACCATTGAATGATTTTGATTTGGGGAGTGAATGATTGACCAGTAAATGGGAGAGGAAAACAATTCGATATCTTGTTTATCTCGTCAGCTAAGCAATCTCTTCTGCATTATTACTATTCTTATCTCACGAAGAGAAAAGTTCCCATCTGCCTTTGGGTTGAGCGCTGAATTTTTTCTTGACCATAGGTATTGATATATTTTCGATACTGTTTTTCTTGGCACTGCGCGCCTCTCAGATTCATGTATGATTTATTGTGCCTGTTTGTAGTGTTTTGTTGACGGATGAGTTTGGGATTGAAAAACAAGAAGATTGTGGGAAGACGAAGAGGAGAAACACGAGACTTTGGATGATTGGAAGAGTAAAAATTCTCATGCTGACTCGGGAGAATTGACAAAAACAGGATAGAAGGGGTGAATTTGTGGACTTCGTCAACTTAATTGGATTAACTAGTAATTTTCGGCACTCAGAACAACACTCTCGTAATTTCTGAGGGTGAGAGAAATTGAAGAAAACTTGCAGATGAATGTGTCGAAATAGATTTACGAATTGAGATAAGACGTTGTGATGTTTAATTCAACCTCCGAGATTGTATCGCTAATTTTCCTGAGTGCACTTTTATTTGCTTAATTGTCTTGAATTACCTTTGTTGAATGAATGGCGCGAAAGTGCGAAAATACTCATAGAATTTATTGCGAAATTCCTCTGACAAATTGCCTTTTTTATCGTCCGAATGGAGGAGAGAGAGAGAGAGGAAAAACGCTGAGAAGGGAAGAAAAATCTCGTGATATTTCCACTTCCTTTCCGCTGACTCTCCCTCTCGCTCTCCGCGCCTCTCCATGGTGCTCGTATTATGACGATGAATGCAGTTGAATGAACTTTCTACGGTGCTGAGAGAGGCATATATATAGCATTGAGGATAAATAGCTGCGGCAGTAGTTTCCCTTTTCTTCATCCCTATTTTATTTCCTCACTCTGTCTCACTCACCTTTCTCTCTCCGGAGAGCTTGGGCACTTTCTCGTCTATTGTGGCGATAGTGTCATTCTATCCACTTGCGCATACACGAAGACTGTCATTTCGCTACAAAAACACCCCTTCCGGGCACAATTTCCCCGGGAGACGGAAGGCGCGCGTGATGAAAAAGTGGAGAGAAGAGAGCCAGAGCGAGAGACTTTTGTGCCAGCGAGTCAAAAACGGCGTACTAACATTTCAGAGGGGTCAGAAAATAATCAATATTGGGGCAGAGAATTGATTGCAAGCTTTTCAGAATGAGACTGTTGGGCTTTAGTACACCTTATATCATCTTTTGTTTACCATCCAAATGTGTCTTTTGCCTGATGTCGTGCACAATAAAAGATAGCAAGGTAAATCACGCGAAAGTCTCGCCAA